CTTCGTATGCATCCGAAGAAGTGGGCTGTAGTCCACGAAAGCTTATGCTCTAATAAATTTGTTAGTCTCTAAGGTGCCACAAGTACTCCTGTTCTTCTTTTTGCGGATACAGACTAACACAGCTGTTACTCTGAAACCTGTCTAAATTTATATATACACCTCTACCCCAATATAATGCTGTCCTCGGGAGCTTAAAAAAAAATCTTACCGCGTTATAGGTGAAACCACGTTATATCGAACTTGCTTTGATCCGCTAGAACGTGCAGCCCCTCCACCCCGGAGCGCTGCTTTACCGCGTTATATCCAAATTCGTGTTATTTCGGGTCGCATTATATCGGGGTAGAGGTGTGTATATGTATATATATATATATATACACACACATATACATATATATATACACATATACATATATACATACACACACTTTTAGTTAAAGTTTTAATGTTTGTTGTTGTTTTTTTACAATAAAGCCATTTTTTATACGTTTAAACAACAACAACTTACCCGGCTTACAATGTTGTCCTTATCAGTAATTTCTTGTCTATTTCTTGATGCTGCTTTCTTGCTCTCCTGAGTCAATTCAAAATACTGTTCTTCCAGGAGACCTCGGGCCAACTGCTCTGATTCAGCTTTGGTTTCAGCCAGATCCAACTGTGCAGCAAGAGTTTCTCTAGAACAGAACGTTAAGATCTTATGTTTCCTATGGAAAATACTTAACATTTGCAGGGAGAACAAACGAGCCCAGACTGTACTTTTCAGTGCATCATTTTTTAAAAATATTACCTTTAAAGGATCGAGGGAAGCAACTAGTTCTACATTAAAAAGGTAGATGACTCCTATGTAATGCACTACAAAAAAGACATAGGTCCTGTCCATACTAGCACTTGATATGTTTGAAATCTTTTTCAGCCACGGTTATCACATAACAGTTGTTACATGTCTAGCATTCACAGTTAATGAAGTTAAAGCCTGCTTAGATATCATGCTCTATACTGTTTGTGTAGCACAATTTTTTGCAACAGTGTTGTATCTAAGATCCACCTGCACTACAAATGCAGCCATACTGGGAGGTTAAAACACAGTTGGCCCCTGTAAGCTAGGGTCCCTTTGGTGCCAACTGGTAGAGGGCACAGTGGGTGCATATGATTTTACAGGGATCCCCTGAATCAGATATATGCATAATAGCTCACCGAAGAGTGGCATGCAAAATCTCTCCCAAGAGCTAGAAGCCCATTGGTTGCCATAATCACTGCGAAATGTATGTACACGTAGTACACTAAAAATTATGTTGTTAAGGTCTTGGAGTTATGGCAGGTCACCAGGAGATGACACACCATGAAGATGTTCCTTTCCGGTAGGAGGTAACTGACACCAATCTCCATGCCTGGCCATTTGTTTATTATATGCCTACTATACACATGGACCAAGTATGAATGGAAAGGAAATCTACAGGAAGCAATGAACAGGATGGGGGGTGTCCTCTTTATGAATAAAGACAAAATATTTGTCTAATATACCTTGGGGTGCAAATGAATACATTGAATCCTTCATCTAGACGGCAAATTGACAGCGTGCGTGTCTCATGAAAGGTGCATCACAGCCAGGCTCGCTGTAAAGCACTGCTAGGATTTTGGGTGAGCAATACTCTAAAATTAAGGCGATACTCTAATGTCTTAAGTCTAGGCTCTTGAATGTGTGTTATGAATTTATTTTATATGTAACTATTTTGTTTCCAATACTTCTAATTGCTACTACTTGAATCTCTAGGCTTTGTTAAATAAACTTATTCTTGATTTCACTGTAAATATATCTAAGTGCTGAGCAGTGATCCAAGATGGAACTTGTAAGCTAGGGTGTACTACTTCTTTGGAAACAGTGAATCTGTGGAAACTGTGAGAGTGCCCAGCAGACAAGGGGCTGGATACTTCAGGGAGACATTTGGAGAGTTCAAGGGCTGAGGGTGTGCCAATCGGTAACCTAGAGAGTGATAGTGGGGCCTGCAGGGGCTAGAGAGCAGTTTTTGTGTTGCCAATGGCCAGTGGAGTTAGGGAGCTGACCCACAGCTGGCACAGTACAAGGATTTCTCATGTTAAGGGAAGGTAGGACAGAGAGCCCCTAGAGTAGACAGGCAACAATTAGACAGAATCAGTTTGGAATAGCTCACATATAGATCTAATTAAAAATGTATACAACATATATTATGCTGAAGGGGTGTGGGAATAAAAAGCCCCATAAGACAACAAAAAAATAAATGGGAATGGGAAAGGGAGAGAGGAAACACCGAAAGAGCTAAAGGGAGTGTCTCTTCCCTTCTCCCCAACTTGGGGAATTGAGACTCGCCTACATTTTCTTGCTCAGGGCTGTGATTGGCTGATATTCTTTCCTTATATCATATTTAACAACATGGTGACTTCTCTCTCCTTCCATTCCTTCTTCCCAAATCCACAGTGAACATTGTTTTTAACATGCTCTCATTTACTCTTAAGACTTGTCTGCAATACTGATGCAGACCAATGACCATGCTTGTCAAGTACCACAAGTTCTGTACTATAGACAGGGGCAAAACCACCACTTTTTGAATAAAAATTATGAAATGGACAGGCCTAATTCTGCATACCTAGAAGAACAAATTACTGAATGGGAAACAGTTTTAAGTAATAGTCTTTCATAAGTTTTGAAATACTGTAAACTGTATATTCTTTAATTATTTGAAACGGTCCACAAAATTGGACAAACTTAATTGGTTTGGTTGTAGTTAGATCTACACATTTAAAATGAACTTTCAAATGAGTATTATCTTCATTAAAATTCTTTGTCTGAAAACCGTTTATTGGCTCAAAAACTACATGCAATTACCAGGCTAACAACATTTTTTGAGGCGGGGCGTGAGTCTTACAAATAAAATTATGGATACAACAAAATAAACAATTTTTCAAAATGTCAGACATTTCTAAACTCTCAGGATGAATAATCTCTCTCTCCAAAAACCCCAAACCTAGTCCAAGAAAATAAACATAAACCCTGACTCCATTCTTAATCATCCATCAATATAAGTAACATCCTATGTATTCACCATATTACAAGACCTGTTATACTTTTTATAAGTAGTCATTTCTCAGCATTACTGCAAGGAAAAAAAGTTTTTTTATCCTGGATTCAGGGCCTCAAGATTGATACCACACTACTGTATACGGTAAACATATTTCTGCTTGAAAATATAAAATGGACATACTTTTCATTTTGCAATTCCTGTATTTTTCTTTGAGTTTCTTTATTCTTCTCCTCAATTTCTTCTTTAAGCTCCTTAACCTGAGTTTTGTAAAGTGTCTGTAAGGGAAGTATTAGAAAGAAATCATAATTCAAATCCTTCCTTAAAACTCTCCTTTGCTGTGATTCCTATAAAAAAATTTCACAACGGTTAGACAGCTGGTACACTGATATCACTTCTGATCATGCTGACTAATAATATTGTCTCATTGTTTCCTTGTACTCCCCCGTCTGTCTGTATCCATCTGTTGTTTCTTGTTTTATACTTAGATGGCAAGCTCTTGGGAGCAGAGACTATAGTTTTGTTCTGTTTGTACCTGGCATAATACAATGGAGTCCTGGTCCATGACTGGGACTCCTAGGTACCAGGGTAATAAAAATATTAAAAACAGTAATAATCCTCTAAGCTTAAAAGAAACATTTTACCCTGAAAAAATATGGCTACGAATTCAGATCATACTGATTAATATTCCTTCGTTTAATTACATGAGTTCATGAAACTGAGGAAAGAATCAGGGTAAAAACACTGTACTCTTGGTCTTCCCATTAGTAAAATGTTACACAACTCATGATATGTATGATAAAATTACAGTGAAGTTTAGTTAAACAAATTATTACAAAGTAATGGGTATTATGATAGATACTGCATTATCTTTGGGGACCACATTGTATTAATTGTATTGTATGGATGGTTTATGCATCGCTTTCTATGCAACTCCAGGGGGAGAGTTACTGCAACTCCTGGAATCAAAAACAGTGGGGGTTATTAAGTGAGTCACTCAGGTTGTAAACACCTCCAGAGGTACCACACCCTGGGGAGGCTTGCATATACCCGTCCAGAGACTTTCAGACAAAGAAAGGTCTGAGTTTAAACACAGGGCTTTTTTTCAGATCCAGTAAACAGACAGGACCCTCTGTCTAAGGGACAGGGTGGACACCAATCCTTGTGGAGAGGTTGAAAGACTTTGATCTACTAGGACCCAAAAAGACTGACAAGCAGCATCCTCGCTGGATGGTGAGAGTGAGGCGCGTCAACTGTATCAGACAAACAGAGATTACAGTACTACTACTCTTCCAAACTTGGCATCTGCCCTGGCATGCCAAGTGCCTAATATATAACAAGAGTTAGTGAACTGATCCACGTGGTTGCCTTACAGGTCTCAGAGATTAGTATATTTCTGAAGCAGGCCAAAGACATTGCCAGCACCTGGGTGGAGTATGCTTTGATGTTCAAAGGGAGAGGCTCACCAACTGATAGTAGTTGGAAATACATTGTGTGAAACACTGAGGTTCTCTGGGATGTGATGGTCTGGCCTTTCTGATGCAGCAGATAAGGCCACAAAGAGGCAGGAAGAAAAAGTCGGAAGGGCTTGGTCCCATCCCAGTAATAAAGCAGGACCTTGAAAGCATCCAGCGTATGCAGCTTCTTTTCTCCAGGCGATGAGAATGGCTTCAGGCAAAAGACTCATATGGTAACAGACAGGTTCAGATGGAATTCTGAAACCCCATTTAGGGTGCCATTTCATCATCACCATGTCCCTATGGAAGGCTATAAACAGCAGTTCAGCCATCAGGGCCTGAAGTTCACTGACTCACCAAGCTGACTTGATGGCTATGAGAAAAGCCATGTTGGTGAGGTGGCATACCAAGCATTGCAATAATGGCTCAGATACAGGCTCTATGAGCTGTAAGAGGAGGATGTTTCTAGTCCGAGGGCAGTTCTCTAACCTGATGGCAAATATGAAGAAAGCCTTGAAGAATCTGAACACCACAGGGTGTAAAAAGACTGAATGTGACTGTATTGGTGCATGGCACCCTGATATCACTGCCAGGTGGACTTTAAAAGAGTTAAAGGCTAGTCCTGCTTGTAGGCCAGAATCTTTCTAACAGGGCTTTGTTTATGGGGAGATCAATCCTGGCAGGGCCAGCGGCTGACAAAATGTCAAATAGCTTGTGGAATTTTTCAGGGATGACTGAAGTCTCAATCTTCAAGGTGTCTGCAGTCTGCACCAAGAGCTCCTTAATTGCCTTGAAATTATCTAGCACCCAGGGACAGTGAGGAGAATTTCTTAAGAGGTGAGGGGGACTGCTGGCCCTCTGGATCTCGCTCCTCTCTGTATTCTAGTGACTGAGGTCTTATTAGGAAAGCTGCTAGAGAGAGAGAGACCTCCATATCTTCTACCACTGTAGGGACAAGCTCCTAAAGGCTGGGGAAGGTAGGCTCCAATAGCCACAGTGGCATCCCATACACATATGGGTGACTGTCGGATTGCTGGCTGGACCAATGACAATCCTGGTGGACCAGTAGTTGAGGTCTGTACAGGTCCTTGGATCTACTAGTGGCACAACTTGTGGACTTTAGTGGAGACAGATCTCTGCTGGCTACCAGCAGAAAGATGTGCTTGGGAATGGTGGAAGAGGGGTACACCTCTTCCACAGGTGGTGCTGACTGGTAAGGTGATGTTGGTGTCAAGGTCTGTATCAGTGTCAATACATATCTTGGTGCCAATTGTGACTCCAGTGCACTCCTAGTCTGCCCTGCTGGTGCTGGAGTCAACATAGATGGGGACACTTCCACACAGATAGTCTGCTGCATCACAATCTGCTCCTTTCCATTGATCCTCAAAGCAATGCTGGACTTGACTGAACTATCTTCCGATGTCTTTCTGTCCCTTTCTTTACAAGAAGACACAGATATCCTTCTTGAGCTCCTGCCCCAATGTTCAGAGTGACCCCCTTTCAGCACTTCGCTTCAACCTCTGAGATGCTGACTTAAACATTGGGGCTGTTGGTGTATTCAGCACCAAGGGTAATACCAGTGCTGACATCAGATCTGGCTTCAATGCTGTTTTCTCTGAGGTGGTCTTTGGAGTCATCAGTCCACCTGATACAATGTAGAGACCACTAGAAGGGTCTTCAAACTCCGTACATCTGGATCCAATGCCACTTTCATGAAAATGGTGCATCAATCTTGCTTCTCATGACTTCCCAGTCCTCACAAAGAAGGAGGCTGAGACCAAGAACCTGCTTCAGTTACAGAACTCTCCAAAGTAGAATAGGTATCTGTCGAGCCAGTCTTTCTGTAGAATTAGTCCACTGCAGGATGGACAGACTTTGAAGCCTACAGATTGAGAGTCTGACATTTCTAAAGTCAGTCTGCTCTAGTACAAGGCAACTAAATGAAAATGAATGAAATGAAAAGAACTAAATGAAAAGAACAGAGGTTGCTCAGAAGAGTTTCAGAATAACATTGAGAAGTTTAGTTCAAATTAAGGTCTAGTGGGTCAGACATCAGCTAGGTTCTGTATCACTGGCATGAGCAGTGAGACGGACGTGAGGGAGGATTAAGGCTGCCCCATCCACCCCACTCCTTACCTCATGTAGGAGCAGGAGGCGGCACAGGGCACATGCAGAGCCCCAACAAACATGACTAATCAAAAAAATCCAGTCTTGCAGGCTTGAGAGACATAAGCATCTAGAGAGGGATCCACCATGACAAACACTTAAAGAATTCATGGTTTTGAAAAGCTGTCTCTACTTAGGTTAGACTTGGGCTGCAGCAACATAAAGTTATAGTAGGACAGTGCCAAAACACACCCAGTGAATAATATAATTGTATGTTAAAAGGTTATTTTCTTTCTAGCCAAAATCCAAGGATTGTAAATCAAGTGCAATAAATACACTCAATGAAAGAAAAGTTACTGATTAATAGTAAAAAAAAAAAGATGGGGAAGGTGGAATCTGGGGCTCCAGTGCAGTTCTTTACTGTTTGGCTATTCAGTTTCTGTGACATATGGGTAGACCGGTATTAACCTACACCACAGAGTGCAACACTCTGAAAATTATCGGATAAAGAGTATTTAACTTAAAGATGGTTTGGTTAGATTGGCCCGATTGTGAATCAAGCAACCCACATATTAAAGGATGAGGTTTTGTGGGCATTAAGAGTCATTTGAGCAAACTGGGTATAATATTATATACTAAAAGGTATATTAAAAATTATTTAAGTTCCAAAGTCAAGTACTCAATAGTTAAGAAATGCCACATTTACAGTTGTCTATGCAACCTTAATTCAACCCCCCACGCATCCAGCTTGTACAGTGAAAGAAGCAGGTGTCCTACAGGAAAAAAAACACTGTATGTGATCACGTAATTAAAGACTGTCATAATGCACATACACAAATAGGCAGAAATAAGGTTGCAGAGAATAACTATAAATCTGGCTTCTTCCTGATTTTTGAGTGCTTGATTTTGCAACCTAAATAACATTTTAATGTAATGTAGTTTTTAAATGTAATTTCTTTTTTTTTTTAAATAAAAACAAATTCTACTATGTACAACTGGAACAACCCCCCTCTTATGCATCATCATCAGTGTCTGAACCTTTACCTTCTGCAATGTAGCACAGATTTCTACCACGTGAGCTATAGAACTAACTACATTATTGCTGGCAGCAGCAAGCTATTATCTCAGAGGAACATATAAGACACTGGGGCCATAAATTGGGTTTTGGAGGTGATGCAGAAGCCCTGCCTGGCTCTCCACCCGTGGGTATGAATTTTTTAAATGTTCCTGTTTAGTTATTATTTTATCATGGTGCCAAAATTGTCCTGAGAAAATGCAAGTGAGATATAAACTGTTAAAAATCACTGTTTCATATATCTCAGCTAAACCTCAATGGAATCTCATGGAACAAAGGGCTTGCCCAAGGGCTTGCTCCCTGACAAATTTAAAAGGCGTATGGCAAAGAATGGAAGTGTTAGAGCTTAAAAAGGTCACAAAATTATTTTTATCAAAAAGTATTAGACAACCAAAATATAGGGATCACTATCTGTCCCATCTGTAATATCCTACAAGGTTATAGCCTGGACTGAGTCTTCAGATGCCTAGACTAAGCCAAAATTTCCTCAAATGCTAAGGCTTTGCAAACAAAAAAGTTTATAAACCTTACTGACTTGGATAAATTGGATATTAAGTATTATTTAACATTGCCTTAGTAGATGGTGAGGCTGATATTGGACTACTGTATATATCTCTGTTGTCCACATTATAAAAAGAATGTTGAAAAATTGGAGAGGGTGCAAAAAAACACCCTCTAAAATGATTTGAGGCCAGATAAAATGCCTTACACTGAGAGATTTAAAAAGTTCAATATGTTTACCTGACTTAAAAAAAAAAAAAAAGAAGAGAGACACTGAAAGGTGACTTGAATACAGTGTATAAGTACCTTTATGAGGAGAAAATACTGGGCACTACAGGACTCTTTAACCTTGAGGAGAACGGCATAAGAAGAAACAATTTGTAGAAGCAGAAGCCAGATAAATTCAAATTAGAAATAAGGAATACATTTTGAAAAGTGAGAGTGATTAACCACTGAAAAAACTAGCAAGGGAAGGGGTTCCTTCTCCATCTCTCCATGTCTTAAAATCAAGATAAGATGCCTTTCTGGAAGACCTTTTTTAGCCAAACACAAGTTATTGGGCACCATCACACGGGTAACTGGGTAAAATTTAATGGCCTGTGATATACAGGAAGAGTGAGGCTAGAAGATCTAATGGGCTCTTCTGGCCTTAAACTGTATGAATCTATGAATTTTCTCTCTCTCTCAATTCATCCTAAAGTTCAATGCCAAATGCATTAGCTGAATCTTGTATAAATCTACCCAAATTAGGAGGGCTCTATAATCAAGTCTGCTAGATCATGAGCAAACTAATTTGGAACTAGTTTACACCTGAGGCACTTTTAGGAAGTTTTTGGGGGCAGTTAACTGCTATATGAATGTTTGCATATAAAGTGTTGTTACTTATGCAACATAAATGGAACACAGTACTTTGATGCCCACAAAATCATATAAACAAAATGGCAATAGGCCAAGTACAGTATTTATGATTGTTATGATACACATCACAATCTTTTCATGTTAGCTTGATTTTTGTGCATTATTTGTATATTTTTAGTAGTATTTTGTGTGTTACTCATTTATGTCTGAGCATTGAGGTACATAGTCATGAAGTTATTAAACAAAACAATCCTTTATTTTTGTAAGATTCTTCATGAACCTACCGAAAAATACTGTTCAGCTTCAAGCTGATCCTGAAGTTCCCGCATCTGACCTTCATTTCCTCTATACTGCCTTAAGGAGAGAAAACAAAACCTCATATAAAAGCCATCCATTACACTTGCACCTTTAAACTCAGCATTTTTCTTTCATATGCACCCACCTTCTCCTTCACACATTACCTGTAAACATGGTAATCATAAGCACCTATTCTAAGATTCTGGTTTAACAATATAATATACGCTACCATAATGGTAGCCCCCCACAGATAATTTAGATGGGAAGCAGTGCTCCGAAAGTGCTTGGTTTCTTTCTTCAACCTGCAGTCTATTGTGGCACAGATCCAATAAAGGAAGGATATTCTTGTTGGAAAAGTAATGCTGTCTGTCAAGCTAAAAAAATCGTAAGTGAGAGGAGGAGTGTTTTAAGGAGAAAAAAATGTACCCAGTCATGAAGCTCAGTGGTCCTCCAACAGACGCTCCAAAGTTTAAATCTCAAATGGTGGTTCTTGGATAGGCACTTCAATTGCTCCAGAAAGGCCAGACAAGCCTGAGCATAGAAGTATCAGCCAAGCAAAGATTTTTATATTTCAAAATAAAAATATTCTAATACAATAAATACAGACATTTTCAGAAAAAAAACCCAAGTATTTTTGGTTTCTGGAAAAAGGTGACAGACAAAATACATGAACATGCGCGGCGGGGGGGGGGGAAGAGAAGGGGAAAGGATTTTCCATTTTATGTCAGGCCCCTACTTACTTAGTGAGTTGAGCCAACTCAAATTCCAATAATCTCTTCGCTTCCAACAATGTATTGATCTCCTGTTTCAGCTGCTTCTCAGAACCCTTCAAGTTGTCTGCCTCAAAAGCTTGTGTTTTCAGTTCATTCTGTGTCATTTGTCGCTTATTTATTTCTTGTTCCAGTTGAAATGTTAGACTCTTAACCTAATTATTTAATAAATCACTTTAATTTAGAATTTTTACCAAATATTTTCCTGTATTTTGTTAAAAGTAATAATGTTTCACATATGCATTATTTTATGTCAAACATCACTATTTCCTACATTTTACTCATGAAATAATGCATACAAATATTCAAAACAGCCTCCAATATTACTTGGGTGCAATATCATAGGAAATAGTTTCTCATATAGATTTTAGTCTATATTTCGGCCTCAGGAACCGCCCTGCTCCCAGCCATTAATTTTTTCTTTTGTAACAGACTCCGGGGGTAAATTCCTCTGGAATAGATAGTATATTCTTCAGTAATAAACTGATGGCTTTGATAATGCAGAAGAAAATATGCTAGCCACTTTGAAACCCATCATCTCTGCAAAACGTACTTCCTGCATAACTATATTGCATATGACCCACGGACTTCATACCTGGAATCAGTTCACTATTAATCCATAGCTCTTATAAAGGAATACATCTTATCCAGGGTCTAAAAAAAGATATGGCATTTGACCTACTCAGACAAACCTTCACAGCATTTAGGTGAAACCTCTTAGTACAGTTATATTCAATAACGTTATGCTACATAAACATCTTAACTTAAATAGATTCAGTTTTCTATTTCTTAATGCAACTCATTCTTTAATTTGTCTTTTACATAGAAAAAATGATAGGTAACAACGCAGGTTTTGCTTACTTCATCCTCAAACCTCTCCTTTTGCTCAGTGAGGTGCTCAAGCTTCTGCTGAGACTGCTTCAGGTCAAAGTCCAGCATGGAACATTGTTTTTCAATCTGAACTATTTGATTTTCTGCCCTGTCTCTTGCTGCCCTCTCCTCCTTCACTTTTTTTTCCATTTCTAAACAGGAAACAAAAGTAATTGACAGCACAATAAAAAGGTATATATGCAAAAATACAAATATGGCACTTCTAAGAATGTGTTTGCTTGACCATGCCTTTCTTAAATACACCTAATATTCCATCTTTGAGAGTTAAGCATAGGGTTTCTCTCCCCCACACACCATGGTTCGGGTGTTTGAAATTCTTTACAGTCAGATGAGTATGCATCTCTAGTCAACTATTGAACAAAAATCATTATAGTATTGTTGCAACAGAGACACAGTGATAGTGATTTCCAAAGCATTAGGACCCTACTACAGGCAGCTACTTGTCACTCCACTAACTGTCATTATATCAGTGCTCAAAATGTTCCAGCCAGTTCATGTGTTGCTCAAAAACAGAGAGCTGCCAACAATAGCCATTTAGAAACGGAATTAAATACAATTTTTGATAGAACAAATAGCAAAAAACATCCTAAGGTGTGTGTGAACACACTAGGGTTGCCAACTTTCTAATCGCACAAAACCAAACACCCTTGCCACGCTCCTGCCCCAAGGCCCCACCCGTTCTCTGAGGCCCCGTCCCCCCGCTCACTACATCCCTCCTCCCTTCGTTGCTCTCTCTCCCCCACCCTGACTCACTTTCACCGGGCTGGGGGTTGGTTTATAAGAGGGGGTGAGGGCTCTGACTGAGGGTGTGGGCTCCGGGGTAGGGCCAGAAACAAGGGGTTCAGGGTGCAGGAGGGAGCTCTGGGCTGGGGCAGGGGTGCACGAGAGGGTGAAGGCTCCAGTTCGGGGAGGGGGGGGCAGCAGGGATGAAGGGTTTGGGGTGCAGGAGAGGGTTCCAGGCTGGGGCCGAGAGGTTTGGGGTCCGGGCTCCGGCCAGGCAGAGCTTACCTCCGGTGACTCCCAGAAGCAGCCAACATGTCCAGCTCCTCGACAGAGGGCCCAGGGGGTTCTGCGTGCTGCCTGCACCCGCAGGCACCACCCCCGCAGCTCCCATTGACTGGTTCCCGGCCAATGGGTGCTATGGAGCTAGCACTTGGAACTCCCATGCCTCCTCCCCCATGCGCCTAGGAGCCAGACATGCCAGCCACTTCAGCGAGCTGCATCGAGCCAGGGCAGACAGGGAGCCTGCCTTAGCCCTGCTGCACCACCGACCAGACTTTTAGTGGCCCAGTCAGCAGTCGAAAACCGGACTCCTGGCAACCTTAGAACACACTAAAAAAACATGGGCCTCTAAGTTATGAAGGGAAGTGGCTGAATGAGTACAAGTCATGTATGATACCTATAATTTTGCTGCTTTGAAGTTAACTAATTTTCCCTTAACTTGAAGATATAAACAGTACAGGATTTTCATATTTGTAGTACAGTGATGTTAACAGATCTATGCTGATTTATACCAGCTAAGGAAATAGCCTAGGATCTTTAAATTATGTTTTACATTATGTATGTTTTCAAATTTTGATATGCATATACATTTTCTCTACACCAAGGCTTAAAAACTAGTTTTATGAACACCGCATTAAAAAAATTCATTGCCATTGTAATGGAATTAGGAAAACGGACCTTATTAGTCCTCAATATTCTATTTGAAACTAAAAGGAAATACATACCACACATTGCAACTGATTTTGCCTCTTCAATTGATTGATGTTTGTCAGTTAACCGAGCTTTAGTCACTTTATGCTCATTTACCTCCTGTTCCAGCCGCTGTTGTAATGTTTTGAGTTTATAGTTTAAATCTATTTCTAAGTTATTCTTTTCCTGCAAATCAGGACCAAAAAAAAAAAAGACACACTTTATTAAAGCAGAACTGTAAAAAAAAAAAAAAAAAAAAAAAAAAATAACTGGAGTATTTTACCAAGCCATCGAACACATCCACATTTCCTTTTTTTAAATAAAAGAAGGGTTACATTTCTGCTTATTCACAAGTCACAATACTAACAGAGTGCACTATACTATGCTTTCTTAGGTGTTTAAAAATGAGGCTTGAAAGAGAGGAAGGGGGTAATAAGACTTTGAAGAAAAACACTTGTTTTAGTCAGCAATCTATGAATTCATAAGGTAACAATCATTTCTCATGCTGTTTTTATGGATAGGTGTATGTAGGAGCAGGCTGCAATGGACTCAAACGGGGGACCGGTGAGACAGCGCAAAACTAGACTGGGATACCAAGGTGGCGTAGGGTCTTGTATTTGACGGTACACATTTTGAAGGCTCTTAAAGAATCTTTTTGTTAGTGCATAAGTAAATACGGAATGACCTATCTTGAGGTGGAATGCAGTGATGGCAGCCAGGCGTACACAAACCGAGCTTGTGGACACTCCTGCTCTTTTAAGTTATTCTAGAATGTAGTCTAGAATGAGTGACAAAGGAACATTCATTTCGAGGACGTTTGGTGTCGCACCAAGTTTGGAATCTTTTCAATTTATTGAGATAAGTAAGATAAGTAGCAGGCATGATAAAAAACTTAAAAGAATCTTTTTTACCTCTTTTGAACAGGTCATCTCCAAATCCCGGAACCAAATTGGGTTGGAGGATTTGGCCTGTGTCTTGAGAGAGGTGTGGAGTGAACTGTAGGATGATTAGTGGACAGACTGCCATTAACACAAGGTAAGGGTACCAAATCTGTTGTGGCCACGTCGGGGCTATGAGAATGACTGTGGCTCGTTCCACCTGTGTCTTGTGAAGCACTGTGAACAACAGGGGAAAGGGTGGGAAAGTGTAATGAGGAAGGCCTCCCACAGGGACATTTGGCAGTTTTGGGCATGGTGAGGATATCTATACTTAGGAATTCCCAGAAGCTGAATATATGCTGCAGGTCTCTTGTGTCTAACTCCCACACATGGTATTGTGAGAATCTCTTGCTCAGTGAGTCCGCCATTGTGCTCTGGTGTCCAGGTAAGTATGAGGCCAAGATGTTGATGTCGTGCTGGATACAATAGTTTGACAATTTTACTGCTTCCGAGCACAGGGATTGTGACTTTGCTCCCCCTTGTCTGTTGATATAGAACATGCAAGCGATCTTGTCCATCATTACTCTTACGGTCCTGTGTCTGACTAATGGTAGAATGTGTCAGCACATGTTGCGGACTGCACATAATTCTAGGAGGTTGATGTGCAACACAGATTCTGAAGACGACCACCTGCCTTGTACAGTCTTAGATGTGCTTGCCAAACGAGTCGGAAGGCCTCAGTTGTGAATATGGCTGGTTACCACAATGTTTCTGAAGCCAGCAGAAGACACTGCCTGTCCCCGATGGAGCATACCTTGACTTTTGGAAGGAAAGGCTCGCCAACCAGCTGATAGCAGGTAGAGATACATTCTGAGCCACTTCAGGATTTCCTGTGACAAGATAGCTTGGCTTTTTACTGTGCCATATATGGCCACAAAGAGGCAGGGAGAGAGTCTAAAGGACTCATTCCTTTTGGGACAATTGAACACAACTCTGGAGATGCCAGAGGATGGAGCATCTCTCCTCCCTGTGAGGATTGCGACTTTCTGAAGAAGACTGGCAGGAAAATTGATTGATTCAGGTGAAATTCCAAGACTACCTTAGTTATGAATTTGGGGTATAGTTTCATCACCTTCCTGTGGAAGGATATGCAAGGTGGTCTGCCCATAAGACCTGGGAGCTTGCTAACTCTCTCTGCTGATGTAATGGCCACAAGAAGAAACATCCTGATGGTAAGACAATATACTGAGCACTCCAACAGCAGTTCAAAAGAAGGCTTTATAAGCTTTGAAAGGAGGACACTGAGGTCCCGTGTGGAAGTCGGTACTCTTACTGGAAAGAAAGTATGAAGGACCTTGAGGAAATTAAACAGTAGGGGTGTGAGAAGACAGAGTGCAACTGTACTAAAGTGTGACACGCCAATGTTGCAGTGAGATTAACTTCAAGGGAGTTAAATATCAGTCCCACATGTGCAAGAGCAGGATACTGTACAACATCTTTGGTATCGGTAGCTCCATTGGGTCAGTATTATTCTGAGTTGCCCAAATGGAGAATTTTTCCCATTTGGAGAAGTCAGTCAACCTTACGGATTGTTTCCTGCTCTGCGTAAGGATTTTCTGAACCTGTAGGGAACACCGTCTGTCAGTGTTGTTCAGCAAGTCAACATCCAGGCTGTCAGGTGCAAAGACTGCGTCTGAATGCATTGTCTGACTGAGGTTTGGGATATCACATTAGGGTAGGAAGGAAGCTGTATGGGAAGCTGCTGGGACATCCAAAATGGTCTCAACCAATATAGGACTAGCACAATGATTGAGGCCCTATATTGTTGATCTTTGATATCCTGGGGACCAGGGGATACATTATGATACCATACAGGAGTCCTCAAGAAGACTGAAACAGCAAGGCAATCGGCAGTTGGTCTGGACTCCCACCTTCCCTGAAGCGGAAGTTCTAGCACTTGTGGCAAACAAATGTGTGGCTGGAGTCTCCTACTGACAGAATATTGAGTCTAGTATGGATTTTTACACACACCACTCATGGTTACCACATTTCTGCACTAAAAGTCTGCTAGGTCATTGCTGATCCCTGGAAAGTGTAGAGCTAGTGGAGTCAGACCCATGTTGATAAATACCATTTCCACCATTGGATGGCTCCAGCAGGAATGCTATACAGATAAGTCAGATGGCTTAGTTCCAAGGCACTCATGTGTAGGTTAAAATCATCATGAGACCAGGTATCTTACATTTGAACGTGGTTCAGGTGGGCACACCAACCCAGTTCCTATAGTGTCTGAGATAAGCATCACTGTCCCCTTTTCTCACGTTCATCAGGACAAACCACCAACAAAACTGTTGCTTGGCTTGAGGCAGGACCCATTGCTCACATGAGGTTTGGATGGGAAGTTCATGGACCTCAGTTATCATTGTAAAGGTGACAGGTAAAGTTTGGCAAGCAGCATCACGTACATGTATGTGGACATATCATCAAAGAGTCCCAGACATATATGTCCTGTCATTGCTGGTGTTGACTGTAGTTCATGCACTATGACTGATGGGAATAGAAACTGTCCTCTGGCAGGAAAGACTTTGCCAAATTGAAGTCAACTAGACCTCCTAAGAACTCTATCGTCTGTGATGGTACACAAGATGATTTCTTCTAGTTCACCAGGTGTCCTAAGTGAGAGAACAGGAAGAGGACACAATCCAGGGACATTCTGGTCTCCTGCTGGGACCTGCTTCTGATCAGCCAGTCATCTTGATATAAACAGGTGTAAATTCCATGTTTTCTTAGGGTATGTCTACACTATTAGGTCAATTTAATAGAAATCGATTTTTTAGAAATCAATTTGATGCAGTCGATTGTGTGTGACCCCACTAAGCGCATTAAGTTGGCGGTGTGCGTCCACAGTACCCGAGGCTAGCGTCGACTTTCGGAGCGTTCCATTGTGGTAGCTATCCTACAGTTCCCACAGACTCCGTTGCCCACTGGAATTCTGGGTTGAGCTCCCAATGCCTGATGGGGCAAAAACATTGTTGTGGGTGGTTCTGGGTACATGTCGTCAGGCCCCCCATTCCTCCCTCCCTCCATGAAAGCAACAACAAAAAATCATTCCTCACCTTTTTTCTTGGGTTACCCGTGCAGATGACATACCACGGCAAGCATGGAGCCCGCTCAGCTCACTGTCACCGTATGTCTCCTGGGTGCTGCTGGCAGACGCGGTACTGCAGTGCTACACAGCAGCATCCCCTTGCCTTGCGGACGGCAGACGGTACAATACAACTGGTAGCCGGCATCATCATCCCATGGGTGCTCCTGGGCGACCTCTGTGAGGTCAGGCGGGAGCGCCTGGACAAAAATGGGAATGACTCCAGGTCATTCTCTTCTTTACGTTTCTTCTAATGGAGATTCAGTCCTGCCTGGAATATCGTGCCAGCTGGAAGCTTCTGCCTCAGGCTGCTCTCCCAGTTGGCAGCACCGCGCAGTCGCACCTACCCCAGCCTACCCCTTGCTCCCATGGCGCATGAAGCCTCGACAGTAGTAAGGCGAAGTTCAACTACAGGCTGAGCAAATGCATAATGATGGTAGAATGTGCATTTGGAAGTTTAAAAGCTCGCTGGCGCAGTTTACTGACTCGGTTAGACCTCAGCGAAACCAATATTCCCATTGTTATTACTGCTTGCTGTGTGCTCCACAATATCTGTGAGAGTAAGGGGGAGACGTTTATGCCGGGGTGAGAGGTTCAGGCAAATCGCCTGGCTGCTGATTATGCGCAGCCAGACACCAGGGTGGTTAGAAGAGCACAGCAGGGTGCACTGTGCATCAGAGAAGCTTTGAAAACCAGTTTCATCACTGGCCAGGCTACGGTGTGAAAGTTCTGTTTGTTTCTCCTTGATGAAAACCCGCCCCCTTGGTTCACTCTACTTCCCTGTAAGCCAACCGCCCTCCCCTCCCGCCTTTATTGCCTCTGCAAGCGGAGATCAAAGTCATTGTTGTTTCAAATTCATGCATTCTTTATTAATTCGTCCCACAAATGGGGGGATAACTGCCAAGGTAGCCCAGGAGGGGTGGGGGGCTGTAGGGGCACCCCCTAGAATGGTATGCAGCTCATCATAGAAGCGACATGTCTGGGGCTCTGACCTGGACCGGCCGTTTGCCTCTCTGGTTCTTTGGTAGGCTTCACGGGCCACTGCTCCAGTCCTTGTTATAACCTCTGTCCTTCATGCCCTTGGAGATTTTTTCAAATATTGCAGCATTTTGTCTTTTGGAATGGAGTTCAGATAGCACGGATTCGACTCCCCGTACAGTGATCAGATCCAGTTCCTCCCGTTGGGTCCATGCTGGAGCTCTTTTGCGATTCTGGGACTCCACGGTCACCTGTGCTGATGAGCTTTGCATGGACACCTGTGCTGATCAGCTCGCTATGCTGGCCAAACAGGAAATGAAATTTAAAAGTTTGCGGGACTTTTCCTGTCTACCTGGCCAGTGCATCCGAGTTGAGAGTGCTGTCCAGAGAGGTCACAATGGAGCACTCTGGGATAGCTCCTGGAGGCCAATACCGTCAAAATGCATCCACACTACCCCAAATTCGACCCAGCAGGGTCGATTTCAGCGATAATCCCCTCATCGGGGAGGAGTACAGAAATCGATTTTAAGAGCCTCGTAAGTCGACAAAAATGGCTTCGTCGTGTGGACGGGTGCAGGGTTAAATCGATCTAACGCTGCTAAATCCGACCTAAACTCATAGCGTAGACCAGGGCTTAGACATGCTGCCATTACAGCTAGGAAGTTGGTGAAAACTCTCAGCCCCATGGTGAGTGTGAAGGCCAAAACCCTGAACTGGGAACAGTTGGCCCTCACTGCTAACCTTAGGCACTTCTGATGGGCCAGATGGATGGCAATACGTAAGTACATCATCCTGGAAGTTGAGAGCCACAAACCAATCTAGAGCTTGGAGCAATGCAGGCAGGCATTACCATCCTGAGACTGAGTATGTATTTGTTGAGTGTCCTCAGGTCTAGGATAAAAGTCCAGTCCCACCCAGGAGGCACATGCGTGCCTGCAGTGGGATCCACACTGACACATTTGAAGAAGCTGTGATTTATTTACACAATACAAAATAATTCAATACAGTGGAGTCGCATTTAACTTACGCGATTTTAACTATACGTGCTCGGCAAAACAAAAACAAAAAGAGAGAAAAACAACCATCTAAATACTGTACCTATAGTGCGGGCGATTCCACCCGCCATTCCACTCAATGAGCGTTTGACGATACGCGATTTTCACCTTATGCGCTGACTTCAGAACCTAACCCCCGCGTAAGATGCGACTCCCCTGTACATGATCATATTCTGACCACAGCCAGCAAGCTAACATTAGCATTTTTTTGAATTATGTATTATTAATTACCTTACCTTTTCACAATGATTAAGTGAGTCTCGTGCCTGTTTTCTTTCCGCTTCCACTCTTTCAAGATTATTTTTAAGATTTTTTACTTCTTCTTGTAAAGATGTAATCCGAGCTAGCAAAAACAAGTTAAAAATAGTTCAATTTCAGCTACTATGCCTAGATGCAGAAACAGGACTTTGATTTTATTTTGTCCAACTGCTAATGTATAGATGTTTCCTTTCCATTAACATAAGTCCTGTTACAACATACAACAGCCACATTTTCTGATGACATTAACTCTGCTGAAGTCTTATCATGGGTAGATACAACATATAACACAATGGAGCCCCAATCTCAGTTGGGGCCTCGAGGTGCTATTGCAGTACATAAACAATTAAAATAACCTGCACAGGAGAGGTCCTCCATTGAAAGAGGAATTATTTTTACCCTACTGATCACTCCACAAAAGCAAAGGCTCTCCTCCAGCCTTGAGTTTGAAACAGCTTGCGCCACACCATATGCAGCTACTTTAGTGTACTATTAAACTGAAGACTTTGAAACAGAAATACTAAGACATTAAGTTAAGTTTCCAACTGCAACTGTAATTTGGTTTCTTGTATTACTCTAGGTGTTAAATGTTATACCTTATAAACAGAATGTATGCAACATAGCTCACAAGTATGTCAGACTATCTAGAACTCTGCACGCTTAACATAGTTTTTTTTTTAAACCTAAAATGTCCTAGGAATTTCCAGATGATAAAATGATTTGAAAAAGAAAACACGTCTTCTTCCAGAATGCTTCCAAACACTTCAATGCTGTGCTTAGTTGTCAAACATTTTCTTATTAAAAATTGGCAATAGCGTGTGCAAATTTCACATGGAACTCTCTGGCTAGATACCAGCAGAGCATCCTGTTCTATACACTTTAGGAACTCTGAAGAAGATTATCCTTTCATGCACGCCTAAAGCGCTGTGTTGCTCTAACACTGCATCAGTTAGGTTTGCTCCATCACACCTTACAAACTGTAAGGGAGATCTTCCCTCTTGTCCCTTTGTACTCTGACTTCTTTAAATATATTTCTTTTTCTTCATATTGGATAAACTGCCCTCTCACACAGTTACCCCAGCGGCAATCTAGAGTAATTAATCTGAAATGGATTTATCCTATTAAGTTGTCTCAGTGGCTAAGCAAGTTGTCACTTGGCTGTCATGGTGGCTGTCACCTTGGGTTAGAGAATCTCATATTTCTCTTAAACACACAACTCTTTAAACTGCATGGAACTTTCTGATATTTTCACCTCTCAAACACCTGAAAAGAAAGGGTGGATTACAATGGAAACTATTCTGCATCTTAACTATAGTGGTTGTTACCACGCCTGCTAGAACATTGCTGCTGTAAAACCTTAATACATGCCAAAAAGAAAAACCTACTCCTTAACTCTAAGGATCAAGTAGAATACCCACGCTGCTTCAAAGTGAATGGTGCCTTTGGATAGGGTACAGTATTATCTCTGCTCTGTCAGTGTCCCAGAATCCATGAACATTGCTCTAAAGGGGTTAATATCCACAGATGAAGAAAAATCATGTTGGAGGAGGGGCAGGGGAAATTGCTGTTATCCACAATACTGCTTTCCATCTCATCCCCAAAACTTAATCACACAGGAATTATGTACCTGAGTTAATACTGAATTGGTAAGACATTTGGTACCTTAAACTATATTTACTCCTGTTCTTCTTATATTTACAAATTTTCCCAAGTATTAGTCCTCTAGGGATACTCAATTAGTTTGTTGATTACTGCTCTACTACACTAAATGAATAGAATTAAACTCCTTGAAAACAGCTGGTACATCTTTTTCAAGCTTTACACAATGATACAGAGCAGCAAAGTGAAGTTATGAAAATAGATTTTTGTAAGAATAAATATTTACTGCAACATTAAAAAACTACATAAACATGGAATGGTTACCTTGTAAATCTCCAATCATTTCAGATCCATGACTTCTGTCCCTTCGTTCTGCTTCCAGTGCTGCTTGCAATTGATAATAGTCCTTTTCCACTTCCAATTTTGTGCTCTCTAGAACTCTGCATCTTTCCTGAAGTTCTCTATTTAGTGATTCTAACTGGCTTATGGACTTGCTCATTTCTGTATGACTCTTTCTCAATCTTGCTGCTGTATCTGATTCTGTCCTTAGTAAGTCATTGGCTTCTTCTAGCTGTTAGGGTAAGAAAAGTCAACTCCCATTCAACGTGCAATAATTAACAGATTCAGCTTTGTTACATTTATGTAATCAATACTATATGACAAATTTGAAGAAACAATGAAAACACTGAACAGCAATCACTTACTTGCTTTTGTAACTGTGTCATCTTCTCATTTGTAGTTTGTGAATGCTGGCTAATTTTTTTCAAGTCTTCTAACTGATCTTTTAAGGTGGACACTAGAGACAGAAATGAATATGGAATTCAATTTTCCTAGCAGATCAGAACAGAAAATCTGTGTGACATTACTAGATATTTCTACATGAGGCCAAATTTTGTTCTTGAATTATATACACCTGGCTCACTCAAATCACTAGGGGCTCCACATGCATACATCTAAGGGCAGAATTTGATACTTCAAATATCAAAAACAGAAATGGCTACTTTCCTGTGATAACTATGACAATCTTTTTGTTAATCAGTATTTCAAGAAAAAAATCTATTCTAAAACGCTTCAAATGCTAAAAAGGTAAATTATACATAAAACTGTATAGTAGCATACATGCCAACATTTCTAGCACATGGGTAACATTGCTTACCTTCATTTTCTACATTTCGTCTTCTTTCATTCTCCTGTTCAACTTTTCTTTGGTATTCATTTATTTTATGTTGCAGCAGCATCTTTTCCTTCTCAGTCTGAGATACTGTTGATTCTAAATGTTTTCTTTGATTTCCCTGAAATTATAATAAACACTGGTATTTTCCATTTACATTTTACAGAATGAGCCTACAAACTTTTTTTAATTCTCTTGTTCTGTAAGTAGTCTCATTGACTTCAACTGGTGAAATCTTGGCTCAACTGAAGCCAGTAGGGCCAGGATTTCACCCAGTGAGACTACCGATATGAACAGGAGGTTTGCAGAATAGAGCCTAATAATTCCCAACATCACTTTGAAGTTTGTCTCTAATTAAATCTTCCAAATCACTGCAATAACTGTATTTAACACAAAAGCAAAAATTACCTGTTTACAGTAACTCCTCACTTAATGTTGTAGTTATGATCCTGAATTTTTTGTGTATATATATATATATATATATATATATATATATATATATATATATATATATATATATATA